TCCCTCTCTCTCTCTCTCTCTCTCTCTCTCTCTCTCTCCTAGCAAACTACAGGAAAGACTTTGAGAAACACAAGGTTTACTTGGTTAAACATTGGAGTAGTTTTCTTCGTTCCCTCACGTGTACTTTTATTCTGGTTGGAGCGTGAACATTTATATAAGAACTAGGCTATGTTCAATAGATTTCAGTTTTGAGTTTTAGTTGTATGCTTTTTATCTTTTCCCCTATTAGGTAACTGAATTGATGTGAGTATATTAAAATGTCTGAGTTTATGGTGCAGGGTGTGAGTCCTTTTTTTTCCACCTAAGCTTTTCTCTTTTGGTTGTCAACTTATTTTCATTGATATCTTTTTTTTTGAAAATGAACTTATTCTCATTGATATCAAAATTGATGTGTAAGAGGGCATATCATTTCTTTACAAAACTAAGTCTATGTGCAACCGATTCTACCCTTACACTAAAACCTAAGTAATCTATTCGACTAGATATGGATACCTCTTATCTGATCAGTGCATCCGCTGCTTCATTTGTCACTCTCCATGAGTATGAGAAGGTTGCCCTTAACTTTGCAACATGATCCAAGATCTCTTGAACCACATTGTTTACACCATGCCTTGTCACTTCCCCTCTACGAGTGTGGCTTCCCGTTTTGTCTCGAAGGATGGCAATGGCCTGGGTTTGGGTGGGGCCAACCTTGGCTTTGGCCCTGGTCCAGTCCTTTTCCTCATAGGACCGGGCCAAAAACTGAGAAAAAATAAAAGATGAAACAAGAAGAAAAGGGGGTCGGGCCGGGGCTGAATAGGGCCGGCACTGACCCTTGCCCGGCCCTCGGGCACATGGACCAAGTCACCGCCTCATTTGAACTACCTGAAGTCCATAATCGATTAAGGCTGGGCCAACTTTCCCCACACACTACGCTAGAGAGAATTTAGAGACAAACATACAAGGGCACACGCACAAGGCAAACGATAGCTGAGGTCCTCAGCCCAATATATTACCCTATACAATTTGTTTATGTATGCAGCCACGGTCCCTTCACTCTGGGCCGGGCAAAGGGTACTTATAGCCCCAAGCTACATTTCGAATTTCAAGTGGCACACTACCATAACCGTCATGCCACAACCATGACCGCTGCATGGAGGCCACCTGTCCCCCATGCACTTTCGATCAGCCACCTGGCCGACCACCACATGGGTCAGTTACACGCATTGACTGCCCATGTTCCACACTCTGTGTCAGCAAGGCGTAACTACCCACCATTCATGGTGGCCGTTACGCCCACCTTCCCCACTAGCTCAATCCACGCCCTCTAGCTTCTGAGTGGAGGGGGTCGGTTACACACCTAGTCACCCCACTACCTTGTGGATTGACTAGCCATGCAGGTCGTGCACCTGCATGATGACGGTTTGAAGGCCTACTTACCCTAAGCCTGAGGACCTGGCTGGAGAATGGGTCACCAAGGCCTGAGGATCGGGCTGGGCCAAGGTCAAGGCCAGCCCAACCCTTATTTTTTTTTACATTTTCATTATTTATTTTTTGAAACTTTTTTAGCCCCGCTTGACCCAGGTGGCCTAGGGCCGGGCCTAGGCCAAGACCTCTTTCACCTGGTCACGGCTGAGCTGGGTTGGCTCTACAGGGAGTAGGGCGTCTTTCACCTGGCCAGGGCCAGCCTGGCCTTGGTATGGCCCGTCGCCAGCCCTAATTAATGCAAGTTTAGCATTTTTGAACAATAATTAATGAATTCAGTTAACAAGGGTATAAATGAATGCCCCAAATTCAATAATTAAAGAGTTAATGGCCAGTCAAATTGGAAGGTTATGTAAAGGGAGTAAATCTCTCTCTCTCTCATTCATGAAAATTGATGTTAGAAATGGGTTCTTCAAATTCAAAAAATAAAATTCACTTAAACAAATCGAACTTGGATGGTGATGCATAACGATATAAGTCTCTTTCCCCATCTCCCTCCCTAAATAAAAGCAACATATCTTAAAATTAAGAAGGGTTTAAATGAGTGTCTCAAATCCAAAATTTAAAATTGGGAGCACATTTTGTCTGCCCTAAGTCGGATGGCTGCATTGGTCTGCCCTCCCCTATATTGGGTGCATTAGGGCATTCTTGTAGCCCTAAATTTGACACCACTGTTATTAAAACCATAGTGGTTGTCTCGATCTGGGAATTTTTCAATTGGTGCCTAACTAGTCCATCCCCGGTCTTGAACTGGGGTGGGCATTGAACTAGTCAAAATTGATATGAACTGGTGTTCTGACCTGTTTTGACCATTTTTTTAATTTTAATTTGTTCGTTTATATTTTTTAGCTCAATTTTATAGCTGCAATTCGTAATTATTTTCCGAGTTGTTTCTGATTTTTCTAGAAATTTTCATCTTTTTTCTGATAGTTTTCTATTTCTTCAACATCTTTGTCCTTTCTTGATTTTTTTTTTATTTTTATTTTTTAACCTGTTTGAGCAGTTAACCTATCCAAAACATTATGATCCCCCCAAAAAAATAAGAAGAAAAAATTTCAACCTCTAGTCTAGTCATAATAACATTGCTTGGTCCACACATCTTCTTGACTGCGAAGAAGAAGCGTGTGAAAATAAATTCCTGGAAGAACCTTGGAAAATGGTTTTCTTGGAATTGTTAAGCTTCGGCCGTTCATTTCACAGACGGCTAGATCTAGGCCCTCTAAGAACTCAGAATCAATTTTCTTTTTTCTTTTTCTACCCTGAAAATTGTTCATCTGTTGCTGATGAGGTAGCGTACAAAATTTGGGATTAGCAAACTCCCCTAAGGCCTCAATTTGATAGACATCAATTTTTTCTTTCGTTAAATAGAGGGCCTGTGTTTCCTTAACAAAATCCACTTTCCTTTTTTTTCATGATCTTCTTCACTGGGACCAAGAGGATGTGGTGCCAAATTTGGGGCGCAACAAATGCCTGTAAGGCCCCCATAATATGGGGAAGGGAGCATTGTTCTGGCCCACCCTTGGGCGGGCGAAATGCTTTCCCTTCAAAATTGAACAATCAATAGCAATTCAAACTTGGAAGGTGTTATAAAGAATCTCTGTCTCTCTCTCTCACCTCTCTCTCTGTCTCTCTCTCTCTGCAACCCTTTTGCGTGGGGTATAGGGTGCCTAGACACCCCGCTTCCTATGCCTAGGCGCCTGTCCATTGCAGGCCTGCATAAGGAAGG